AATTTTCCTGTTTTATAACACTATGTTGAGTACGTGTTTGTATGTTCCTCGATACAATGGCATCAGAACCGATCACATTTGTGACCAGCCAAAGTAACGCTGAACGTCTATTGTCTGATTATGTGAGTAAATGTGTTTGTGGTGTTGGTCGTAAAGTGTGCACTATTGTCTTCTATTGCAGTAGTCAGCCTATTTTTCAACCACGTTGCGGCGCCAGTGTTACGGGTTCGGTGCTTGGGTCAATTAATAAGGCTGCTTAGCTTGAGTATATATTTATTAGTGAAATAAGGGTAATAATAAAAAACTGTAACAAACAAAAATAAATTTATAAAAAACAGTTCGTAAGTTACTTAACTAATACATACTTATCAAATAAAACGAATACATACCCCTTGTCGGGCTTCTAGTTAACTTTTGGAACGTCCAAAATACAGATTACAATTCAGTAGTTACATATGTTATATAATTTGTATCACCATATCACATTATTTATCACAATAAATGAATTATTTTAAAATTACATAGTAAAATTTATACCAATAATATTGTATTGTATTATAATTTCATCTTGTGCATAGGAGAATTTCTTACGAACTGACATCCATAAAGAGTAAAATTGATTAGTCAAAATTTTAAATTACGAAAGACGAATAATAAAATGAAATGATGGTGAATTTCAAAAGTAAAAAGTTTGCATACTGAAACCTAGGAAAACAAACGGTGGCATGGCACACCGTTACACAATGAAGTCATTGTGATGATGCCCTTGAATGCATTCTGAATAGCTACCAGCGGAAATTTCTTTAAGAAGAAAATTGCTTGTGTAATCGTGAATAGAGTGCTACAGGCGCGATAAGTTGAACAATGAGGGCGCTATTTTCATTGACGAAGACACGATTTTTGACGATATCCGGATTGTAATGGACGCCTAAAAGGATACATTGTGTATTATACAAGTTAACAGTATGACTAAACATAATATGAATAGCAACAATTGCGTATAGAATTTCATGAGTATCAAATTTGTTAGTCCTTTCATTACATTAAGACAAGTGCCTACTAATTCGCGTTGAAATCTTTTCAGTGAGCTACAGTTTCTCACACAATAAAAAAAATATATATTTCTCTCCTAGTCGGTTGTATATCCGCGTTTCTTACTGACGGATCAATGTATTTATACATTTCGCAGTCCAATATTATATTATCAGCGTTCATTGAGAACGACATCTCAAATCTATCCATTGTCTTTCTCGGACCAGGATTGTTCACGTTTTCACTCCATGCAGTAAAATAAAATGAATGCTAGGGCAATGCAAATCAATCTTATCTTGATTTTGATCCAGTTTTCTTCCAGATGTTGTTAAGCCAGGTCATAGCATCCTCTTCTGTCCCGATACTCATTTCATACCTCGGCCATCATCGCAAATTAGAAATTCCAGATACAGGACAAAATTTTAAATATTAGTAATTTAACTTTAATGTGTACTCCGATCTTTACGTAACTAATGTAAAACTATCACTTCTGACAGTCTCTATGTATTTTCCACTAGCAGGCAAGTAATTTATAATAAAGATCATAAAGCTTTGCTTATATTGCCTGAAGTAAGACAAGTGAATTTTCAAATATATATTGCGCACTCGTGCGAATGCGAGTTCAGGTGGGTTGCTAGTGAAATAGAAACTTTGTTATTCTTTATATGCCTTCACGTGTAGGATGTATGGGAGGTCGTACATAAAAAGGAAAGCAATGAAATAATAACAACATTCTTGCACACACCACCAAGCAGAATATCAACTGCTAAGACTATATAACGTGCTCTACCATCGTAGACTATAAGAATTCAAGAAATCTCTTAGATACTTGTTTTGTATTGTCTTCTAAACAACTAGAAACAAACTTAGAGAAGTGGTAGAGACAAACTGTCGAACTATTCAATAACTTATCAATTGATATAAGTTTTGTAGAAAAATATATGTGGGTAATTTAGTAACTGACATTGGTAACTCAGCTGATATAGAAATAGGCTCCTGACCAGACAGACTAACGATCATCAAAATTTATTTTATTTATTTATTATTGTTTATTTATTTTAAATTAAATACACAAAAACCTTAACGATTATTGTATAATCATGCGTCTTGCTGTATATATGGCGGCACGTTAAATGAATATAGTTGCGAGATGGAATTGAATACCGTCGAATAGTTTACGTCATTTTTTATGTCATTTTCTTCAACTTTATTTTGATCATATTTAAATTTATGTTGTCTTAAATTAAATGACTACTTATTTAAAAAATCGTAAAACTTTTTTGATGTTCAAAATAACATAATGATTTCCACATATTAAAATACAATTATTTCAAACCAGTGGTACCTCACATCCCTATAGTGAGCCGTTCCAGGCCGTCACACTCATTGTGTAACAACACACGGCAACAATAGCTGCGACTATAAGTGCAGTGCACTCCTTATGCGAATGCATATAACACTGTGACCACATAACATGCTGTGGTTATAGCGTTCGTTCGGCAACTTGAGCTGTTTCTTTGTACCCTTTGACGAATGCCCTGCCGGTGTCGTTGACCGCATGTTGTGTTTACAAAAGTAGAAAGCAATTGCAAACAGAGTAAGTGCAGCATACATCATTGTGTTGTGCGGAAATATTTCGCATTGTATGTGACTATGTACTTAAGTAGTTACTACATACGTTTGTGTACTCGTTTTTGCCATCAGATTCAGACTTATTAATGAATTAATTTAGAAGAAAAGTAGTAAGTCCTTCCGGAGTTCTTTTTACATCAAATTAGTAGTTTGATCGTAAATCCAGAAAATAAGGAGATAATTGTATTCACACGAAGCCGTTATATGAAAGATTTACTGGTTTTCAAGATCAGAGATACCTAAACTGTTTATGGGTTCAATTATATAGCGACTATGTACAACAATAAATGCAAAATTTAATTGAAATATAATCAATTCTAATTCGATAAAGCTATATGCACACCTGAAATACAATCAATTTTCAAATGTCTTAAAACATACAGAAAGGCATACTCGTACACAGATCACAGTCACCCAAACCAGAGGCAATATAGAAAATTTTTAAAATGCTCCTGGCCTAAGCAATTGATACTTCCGTTTCATATTATGGCTGTGGACTAATGCGCCGACACGTCAGCTCTGTGATAATGGCACCAGACAATCTACCACAATTTTTATATATACTGGGTTCTGACTACATTTATAGATAATTCATCATTATCAGACTATTAATGCCTCCTTGTTGAAGTACCTTCCCTAAAGAGACACATTAGGAGAATGGGCCATTAATTTCCATGACGAAATACAGCAGACCTACGGCTTAAAGTGTACGGAGTATGGAAGAGCGTGAAATAATTAATCTTTTGGTTAAAATTCAAAACATTTTTAATAAAGTTAATTTACTTTTAACTTCATTATATAGGCACCATTTTGTTCGATAACTTTTTGGGACTTCTGATCAAAAAATATCGGCAAGTGGATTTGGCAGTCCTCACGTGATGTTAACAGTCCCGGATGCATTAACCCTTCCCAGCCAAGCTCTATTAATTTTTGCTGAGTGGCAAAAGATGTGTGAGGTCTAGCGTTATCATGTTAAAAAACCACACCCCTTCTATTGATTAATTCTGACCGCTTTCTCTCAACTTCTTGATCTCATCAATTGTTCTCAGTAGAGTTCAGAATCGATGATCCTGCCAAGTGGTAATAGCTCATAATGGATAATGCCCTTCCAATCCCATCATACACACAGTATCACCTTGTGGCGAGTTATCCCAGGTTTCGCCACAGTCTGTACAGCCTGACCAACCTTTGACCGCGACCCTTTTCGCACGTTCTTGTCGTACGTGATCAACTTTTCATCACCAGGTTAGCTTCTTCAAAAATGGCTCAGTTTCATTACGCCGTAATGAAGAATCACATATGACTGAAACCTAATGAACCGTGTGGTTCATTAGGTTTCTTTCAATGAACTCGTGAGGTACCCAATTTCCAAATTTTTTGTGTACCCAGCTTTTTTCAAATGGGCCAAAACTATTTTGTGGTCAATCTCCAGTTCTCGGCTACATCGTAAATACTGATACAACTTTTTCAGAAATGGCATCCATTTTATCCGTAACAGGGCGAGTGGAGCGACGTGCAAATATGACATCAAAAACTTTTAAACCTTTGTGCCACTCTCACAGAAACTGCACTAGGTCCATAAACATCACAATTTTTTTTTACGGCTTGCGTTGGATTTTATCTTTTTTTGTAATAAACCAATTTCTTCATTAGATTTTTGACAGTAAGAAAACCAAATGAAAATCACACATTTTCCTAATTTAAATTCGGAGTTATTTTCTTTAAAATTTAAACTTTTAATGATACAGAAACCAGCCATATACAAATGGTATAGCTAGAAAGATTTTATTACAAGTTTATTTATACTATATGCGAAAAGACTTTTTCCCCAACTTATTATGTAATGGTGCCAGTATCGAGCTGAGGGAACTTATGATAGCCGAAAAACATTTAAATATTTATATGTAGCGAAGCCTTTGTATTTCAAACGTCATAAATAGCGTGTAATCCTATTCGCGACGTAGGAAATACGACAGGCCGGCAAACTAGCGTAGCATGTTGGAGCTTATGCGAAAGTTGCGTTTGTTTTGATTTTAAAAAACCCAATATAAAGCAGTATTAGAAATATTAATACACCATAAAACTATGTAGTGCTTACTTCTACACATACATACTATTTTATACTCAGAGCTAATGAAGGTACAATAAAATTAAAATATAATTAAAGTTTCATAATTATTAGTGAAAATAAAATGTGGTTAAATTCGCGAATAGTCCAATTATCGATTCGTCCATTTCGTATTATTGGTTACAAATTCATAGTATAAATTGCATAAGATGTTTAAGTAGCTTGCACTCGAAGAAACCTTGAAAGACCGAACATTTTTGTCTTCTAGAATCCGACCGCAGACACCTGGCGAGATCCTCGAAGGATGTGGCGTATGTGCACGCGCGGGGGGTGCGGCAGGTGAGGGGGGTGTCGCACTAGGCACCGAACGAGCCTTCACCTTCGACTTTGCCTTTGAGCCGGTCACCGCCCAGCAGCAAGTATACGACACCTGCGTCAGGAAGCTAGTCGAATCAGCGCTTGATGGCTACAACGCCACTGTTCTCGCCTATGGACAGGTCAGTTGGTACACTTTTATATTCCCCAGTGAAATCTTGGATGTATATCTCATAACTGCTATCTAGCAAAAACACTATCAGCCAGTCCCACTGTCATTAGGTTAAAGCTACATTACCGATACAAATTTGACATTCAATAAAGCTCAAAGGCGTCATTAAACCTTAATGGACGTTTGTGCAACTGACCGTATTGCCATCTAACGATCAGTTTCACAAACATCCATTTAGGTTTAATGACGATTATAGCTCTATAATGAACGTTCTTAATTTGTGTCACTAATATGGCTTTAAACTTATGACAATGTTTTCGATTTGCACGTGTGACTGAACACAGCTAGTTCTAAAAGCACTATGTTGGTATTTACTTCTGTCTTCTTAATCGACAATTCTGCACATTAGTTAGGTTTATGATGTTTCATTACCTAGTCAGCCGTCGAAAAATACATCTTATCGATGAAAATTAGACAGTATTTGTATCGCAAATTTTTACCATGCCTGCCATACCATGCTATATGCTAAATAAATTCCAACAGCAGAATAGACTTACGATCGGTGTCGACTTTTGCGTTATTTACATATCGAAATTAGTTGATGTATGTTTTGGGTATATTTCGCTTCTAGATTACCAAAATATTCCAGTACAATCTAACACACATTCGTTAATATACATACAAATACCTCTTACACATCTCTCTCGAATTAATGTAACCATCCTTTTGCAAATAAAATTTTCATTTCATTATCAAATCTGATCATCTCTGTTTGACGGAAGTTGTTTTCCTTGTTCAAAAACGGCTATAAATAAAGAGTTTTTTTCTCATTCGTCTAAAAATATAACAGTGCAACACAATGCTTGCCAGCTGTGTGTTACTCCACAATGCCCCTTGTCTCTAGTGCTGCACTTACCTTATATGGGTTACAGATAGAATCCACTAAGGCTCTATATTACAACGAGAGCACTATGTAATAAACCATTTCCATTAATCATACATAGAGCTCATGCCATTGATGCAAATCATACGTTGTTTAATAGAGCGTGTCTCTAATGGATATCCTTTGTTCTCATATTTCAATTTATTTTCCAGCATTAAAATTAAATAGTCAATATTTAAATCTATTCCATTTAAACCTATTTTATAAAATATAATATCTGGCATAGATATCGATCTCAGTTCCTTATAGTTAAAGTTACTACGGATGACGAAATACATGATACTTTTATATTCGTAATATAATTTGGGGGAGGCCTATGCCCAGCAGTGGGCGTCTCTCGGCTGAAATGATGATGTTGATGAACCGTACGTACAACGGCTAGCTAAATTCAAGCTTACCAGCCTTCGTAATCGCAGACGAATTGGATATGTGTTTTGCTTACAAAATTATTGGCGGAAGAATACAATGCATCGAACTTATATCACCCATGTAGCGTTCGGTACCGTAACGCCCTTCGCTAGGACCAATTTGGTTAAACAGTCTCCTATTGCACGAATTTGTTGTGACTACAATTATTTATTAAATAATAAATCTAAATATATATTACTCAAAGGTATATGATCTATCAACGTACAGCCCAAACCACTGGTCGGATCGGGCTGAAGTTTGGCATGCAGGTAGATGTTATGACGTAAGCATCCGCTAAGAAAGAATTTTGATCAATTCTACCCCCAAGGGGATAAAATAGGGAATAAAAGTTTGTATGAAACTTTTACATTTTAAACCGATCGGGTTGAGACTTTGTATGCAAAAAGCTACTATGATGTAGGCATCCCCTAAGAAAGGATTTTAATAAATTCCACCCTTAAGTGGATAAAATAAAGAATGAAACTATTTCAGGTATTTTACACGATATAATTAATAAATATTCGTTAGAAAGCTGCTCAAAGTAACTTTACCACGCGGACAAAGTCGCGGGCAAAGCTAGTTAAGTAATAAATTAATAGTATATTATCCGGTTATTTTTAATAAGAACGATAAAGACAAATTATCCACTCCATTGATTTAATTTTTTATTTATTCGATTTTATTTTTAATTTAGTATACTTATCAAAATTTATTTAGTTCAACATCTTTGTAATATTTTTGTTACTTTAATGTATGTTTTGTAAATTAATTATTCTATATTATATAAATTAATTTAATTTCAACACTTTACCCCTTAATTTCTAAACTTAAAACTACTATGCTAAACCTAAACGAAGACCATATTCAGTACCAATTAAACATCCGACCAAAATAAGTCATCACGTCTCAATTCAACTTTAATTTTAGCAATTTTTTAAGCTATATACTAAATTTAGTCCTCGTTTTATAATAAGTCGGACTTAGTTTAACCTACCGATATGCCATCAAACTCCATATAATATTTAATTGATGTCAATAGAGTAGGTAAATTGAATCTTTCATTGAAGGCATCAAGGGAATAAACGTATTGTACTTATGTTTTTTTTTTATCACAACATAAGAATATTGTTTGTAGCCTCAAAGTACCTAAACGTTAATTGCAGCTAATGTGTATAGACAGTGGTGTGGCACAATCCGCGATCGTATAAAGTTACGACATGTCCTATTATGCATCGTGAAGGCCGCTCTTAATACTGGGTGATGTAAATTGTTTATTGATTGTTTGACTTGACACCGCGGCGTTATAATCGATGACGTTCCACGGACAGGATGTTGTGTTTTTTGTGTACTTCGTCCCTGCTACATCCAGTCGTCAACAACAATAAGCACTAAAGCCTCGGAGTGGGTTGTGATTCTCCCTGTTTTCCTTCTATAGGACCGTTCAATCCAAGATCAAAGCCAACGTAGTGCGGACAATAATAAGCTGCCCTGCGATTCTGTAAAATCCAAGCCCGAATTAGAATTCACTCAGGTGTCCCGAATTCACTTCATGTCCAAGAATATTTTGATGACAAATTGTAATATTTTATTGCCGTTGACATAACATGTTTTTCTTTCTTCCTTGACAATTTAATTTATCTCTTGACAATTTAACTTTTGTTTTGTTTTGACATCTACATTGTGACATAATTTATAATTTTTAATTCTAAGCATTTGACATTTATTGTACTTAATTGAAAATTACCTGACAATTAACATTAATTTTATATACTTATGATTATTTTTAAAATGAAAATTAGGGACGAATGTGAATTTAAATGAAATTTTATGAATGTAAGATATTGAGGAAAGTGAAGATATAGAAGATTTTATTTAAAGTATTTACTATTTACAATGAAATTTAAATTTAAATTTGCTACACCCTTACAGGGTGTCACATAAACTGTACCTAATAATAGCACCTGTTTTACTATGTGACATGCAATAAATGAATTATTATTATTATTACATCGATCAACCGACATAAACGTCCAAAGAGTAAACGTATTAACAGTTCCATATTTCGGTGTCCGTCATGCTGCTTTGAGTTTCTAATAAAAATGCGCAATGCGCAATGTTTAAGAGAGAGCTTTTATTATATGGCAAATTAAATTAAATTAATATCTAACTAAACATGATGTAAATTGAGTTATTTATTACAAACCGGCTATTCTGTAAAGTATGTTCGAACACGATAAATTCAAAAATTTACCGTACGAATTTTCACTGTTTCACAAATCTGCAGAGTGAATGACAAAAGTTTGTGTAGGTAATTAGTAAAGTTAGTGTGAGTCTGTTGAATTATGACGATGATTGATGAAGATGTCGGATAAAAATCAATCCGGTTGAACGAGCGCTTACTAAATGTGATGCCTATTTTGTATAGGCAATTAAAAATTATGGAATTTCTTGTTGCCATTTTCTCTATAGCTAAAGGATTTCTGAATGCACATATAAGTGAAAAGAATAATTCAAAAGATATCGTTACTACCAGTTTAAGTAACGTTTTTTTTTAAGTTGACTAGTGGATAAGCGCCGCGGTCCACGATCGTTATCGTTAAGCAACTTTCGCAAGGATCGGTCACGGGATGGGTGACCAAAAAATTATTATGTCGAGCTACTCCGTGCTTCGGAAGGCACGTTAAGCCGTTGGTCCCGGCTGCATTTTCAGTCGTTAATACCCTCCAATCCGCATTGGGCCAGCGTGGAGGGCCCATCCTCTTTAATCATCCTTAAGGAAGTCCTGAGCCCCTGCAGTGGGAACGTAAAAGGGCTAATGATGTTATAGTGACTGAGTAACGTCACTAGTTAAATTTAGAACTATTAAATAAATCTTTAAAAAAAGCCTTGTGATCGTTTTACATATACAATAAGCAGGATCCGCTTATTTGTATTATGGCGTTCGTTATTTGATTGATGACATATAAAATAACTTATGATTATACACATAGCACCGTACCGGTTTAACGAAGATGAAAATCTAGTTCCGTGTAAATATATGTAATATTTATAAGCTAACAATTTTTTTATTGATAAATCGTAGTTTATGACGAGTAGTTGTCGAGTCTCTATATATTTTTATATACTAATTATATTAGAAGATAAATTTATATTCTAGTAAAGTAGAGTATATTACCTTAAAATTTTTTGTGATTTCTATAAACTTGTTATCACGAGATAATTCCCAAATAATTATGCTTCTCCTGTTTTCACGTCGGGAAAGGCATAGATACGAGTAGAAACTAATAATGAATAATAACTCAACAATGTTTCCTGAGTACCAATGTTACGCTTGACATTTTAGATATTTTTCTTATTCTCACTTGCAATAAGAATGCAGTCGATAATAAAATAACATACTCCCAAGATAAATTATAAAGAAAATAAATATCTATTAGATCTTCCCTGAATTTCAATCCTATATATTAATCAATTAACAGTACAGTTGACAGTACAGTTGGCGGCAGTGCCAGCCGTTGTATCCCCATTTTCGAGTCTCCCTAGTTCGTCATGCTATGAGGGCTACTTCTTAGAACTCCTCAGAAGAAATTTTTGATCGAATAAAATAAAATACAATATGAAAGCCCACTTTATTGTCTACTAGCTTTTGCCCCCGACTA